CTGTTTGAATTAACATCCGCAAACATTCTATAGAGTTGTGATAAGCTGCTTCGTGAATTGGCATCCATCCCCTGTTATCAGCAACATCAATGCTACGTCCCTTTTTGAGCAATTTTCTTAAGACTTTCACATTGCCTTCCCTGGCAGCAAGTCCAACTGTGGAGCATGTGTCAGAGTAAGCCTCTGTAAAATCCATTCTTTTGACCAGTCTACAAAACAAGGGAGAAAGAAAACACTATAGTCAATAAAACAATGAACTAGAGATTAGCAGATCGAAGTGGACCTGTCTAGCATCTCTCACACTGACTGCTGGAGGAAAAGCCTGAAGTGGAGAAAGCAACCCGTCATGCCACGACCTCTGCTAGAGTCTAACCCAGGAAATCTCTCTGGGGAATGTGAATTCCTTAAAGGTAGTCTCATTAAAGATATCAAGGGAGTTTTAAGTGTTCTATTATTTCTTCTCTGGAAAACTTGTCTCAACAGCTCCTTCCTGCAGGTTTCTGCTCAAACTCCTACCCCACCAAAATGCACTCACTGAAACTCTGATGAGAGAGCTAAACACCTCCAATTAATTCCAAATGCATCCTCTGTTATGCAGAGATGGCCATTTAACGACCAGCAATGCTCAGGCTTAAGAATTAATTTATAGCCCTCTATAGGAAAAAACTGAACACAAAAAGGCTACAAAGGAATAAAGGACATCTAATAAAAAAAAAACCAAAGGTAAATAGTAATTTTAGTTTTCCTGCCCTTGCTGGTCCTTTCTACAAGAGGCTAAACTCGGGTTCTCCTTCCATGATGAAACAGTCCCACTGACTGAATGTACTGAAATGAATAAAGAGAATCATAAAAAGATGAGTCCAGCTTTCCTACACCAGCCCAGAAAGTTCTTCACAGCATTATTGCCCTCTTCCTCATCATCTCCCTTCAAAATTCATTTCAAGTTCCCCTGGAGTCACTGTCCAGTATAGCTCTCAGTATATGACTCTCACAAAGACTATTTTTTGGTAGTCACACGATGAGGCAGGCTGTGCTAAGATTCGGGATTCTCGGTAATAGTTATCTCCCAAGGGGTAGTCCCTCTCAGTAACATTCTTGTCCCATCCTTCCTCTTATTTTTTCTAATGGTATAGGAGGTAATTCAAGAAATACCACCAACATGTATAGTCCAATATAGTTGGAAAATTTTCTAGAACCACATTCTAAATAATTTATCCAGAAAAGGAAGGTTTGAAGGAAGAGGTTAAAAGAAAACACACAGCATTTCCAGTAGTAAATTTGAACTTATCCACGGTCACATTTAAATATAAACTGTAACTGCAGAAGTTATTCTTTAGTGAGCCAAACAGCTAAGGTTAGCTATGGATTAACCTGATAGATCAACTAGGATAGGTCCGTTACTAGGAAAGTGGAGATATTTATTACAGAGTATTTTTAATTATTCAGTTAACAGTTATTTACTGAGCACCAACTAGATGATCACAAATGTGGA